ACTTGGATTTCTTGGACTTGCGGGGGGAGGTTGATCCGGATGAGGACGACAAGTATTCCTCGTACTTCTGTTGGTCAAACTCGTATTGACCTCCTCCACGACCGGGATTGAGATCCGTTAAGATCCGGTTACAATGAAAATCAAAGAAAAATAAACAAAGATTACAACTTTCTCCTTTTGTGTCGAACAAATCGCGAGCTCCTGTTTTGCGGCCGCTCGCTTTGTGGGTTCTTCGCCTACGCCGGGGTTTATCCGTGGACCACCGCGAGATCTAGATCCGGGATCTACGCAGTACGACGTGTATTATTTTACGAAGGAAATAATAGCCGGGGGGGATTGGTTCACCAAGGAAACAATCGCCCAAATCTCGGGATCAAAGGCCAAGCTTTGATCCGGGAGTACACCTGCGTAGATCTGAGATCCGGTCCTCTCGAACTCTTGCCTTATTTGGCGTTGACGATCGCCGAGCACCAGATCTGGATGAGCAAGTCCTCGAAGTCCTAAAGTTTGAATCTTTTTTAGATCTGAGTCTTCAATCCAGCAGGGCTTCACCTCCAAAAAATCCAACCTTTGAACAATGAACCAAGGGGGCCTATTTATAGGCTCCCTGAACTGTGCCCACGCACAGATCTGGGTCGGCCACCTATGGGTGGCCGGCACTGGGCCAAGCCACCCATGGGTGGCTCAGCCTTGGCCGAGCCCCCCCTTAGGCATTGGGTTTCGTTGTTTTGCGTTGTATCCGCTTTTCGGTTCTATCCGTGATTCGGTTGACTTAGACTCTGATTTGTTGATCTGATTTGGCAGTAAATCCGATTCCTGATTTGGCAGTAAATCCACTTCTGAGTTCGAGTCCGAAACTGATCTTGATTCGATCGTGATTCGTCCGAGTCTGCCCTTGGTTGGATGACTCGTTGACTCTTCGAACACTTGGCTTGATTCCACACGCGAATGGATGTATTCCGTTGCTTGCGTGCGATTCGTCAACCTCGTCGCCTCGTTGGTTCATCGGTTTGTGCCGAGCTATGCTAAGGGACCTATAAGCAATTTTATACGCCTACAGCTGCTGGGTGGGTCGATGAATGATCCTTGCAGACCCCTGTGCAAAAGGAATCAACCATTCGTGTCAACGCAGAATACGCCTCCGCCGTCGACATGAACGCTCCTCGTTCAAAAAGATCCAAACAGCAGCGACGAAAAGCTCTCGCAAAGCTCTCGCTCGTCTCGAGGCGCAATCCCTCATCCCCCACGACAGCCTGAATTATTATTCAAGCTTGGGGGGAATCAACCTTTTGTGCCAGGTTCCCATTTTTGGCGAACCGCTCAAATCGGACGAGCCTAGCAGTTTAGGCGAGCCCATCTCTTTGAGCCAGGTTCCCAGTTTCGGCGAACCGCTCAAATCAGGCGAGCTTATCGGCTTAGGCAAGCCCAACCTCTTGAGCCAGGTTCCCAGTTTTGGCGAACCGCTCAAATCGGGTGAGCCTAGCAGTTTAGGCGAGCCCCACTCTGTGAGCAAGGTGCTCAATTTTGGCGAACCAAGGGCACCTGGCGAACTCTGCAGTTCAAGAGGGCTTCGTCAAACAAGCGGACTTCACCAAGCTCGCCTGACGGCCCAAGATCGCACGAGTCTGACGTCCGTCTCTGACAATGACGACGACGATTGCTCGGCAATGGTAACGTCACAGACTTCAAACTCAATTCGAGGCAGGCACGTGAGTGTGCACATGACCGACATCCCTGATGAGACATCCAGGAGACTCGACGAGCAACAAGCAACCATCGACTCCCTAAAGGAGATGTTGGAACAGCTCCTGGGCGAGAAAAAGAGGAAGAGAGAGAGGACTTCGCGGGCTTCGCATAAATCCTTGAAGCACAAAGAGCGGGTGCCTACTCCTTCTCACTCCTCATCCGAGTCATCTAGAGGAGCGTCATCTTCGGGCCATAACCCAAGAGACAAGAGGTTTGATGATCTCCAAAGTCAACTCGATTCCTTGAAGCTCCAGAAGCATGTGAACAAGCTGGGGGTTGTCAGGCCGTATCCAATTGAATGGGATGCAGTCTCCTACCCGGCAAAGTTCGAGCCGCTGGACCTCCTACAGTTCAATGGCAAGGGTTCTCCTACCCAGCACATCTACTACTTCCAGGCGCAAACTGGACACATAGTGGGAAACGATCCCATTATGACTCGACTGTTCATTAGTACCCTCAAGGGGGTCGCTTTTGAATGGTTTCGCAGATTGGATCCCGGGTCTATCACCTGCTGGAAGGACATGGAAAGGCTCTTCGTGGCCAGATTCTTCGACGATGACACAGAAGTATCTATGGCCACCCTGCTAACTGTGAAGCAGAGGAAGACAAAGTCTGTAAGCAACTTTGTCAAGAGATTCAGAAACCGATCATTGCATTCCCGTGATCGAGTTTCCGAGGCCACGCTCATCGAGATGTGCCGGAACAATCTCTCCATCAGCGTTCTGTCCAATATGGGCGCTGTTGAAGCTCGCTCATGGAAAGACTTACTCCGCCAAGGAGAACAAGTCGAGAGCTTGCTCAAGCATATGGGTGACGAAGACCCGCATGAATTTCGAGGAGATGATGACAAGATGCCTTGGTAGTGGAGATCATTTCCTCATATCCTACGATTTCCCCCGTTGATCCTCTTCAATAGGACGGCGGGTCCACAAAACTATCAAGTTAATTGTTACCTCTGATAGTCATTTCTCCATTAGTCTCATTTAACTTGACGATGGATCTCACAAAACTATCAAGTTAACTATTACCTCTAATAGTCTCCTCCAAATTTCCCCCGTCGATCCTCTTCAATAGGACGGTGGGCCCACAAAGCTATCACGTTAACAATCACCTCTGATAGTCCCCTTACACTCCGACAAGTACACGAGTATAAACTGCTTCTTCTGATCCTCCAACTGGTATAAGAGGTTAAACTATTTCCTACACTTCAACTTCTTGAGCCAGGTTCCCGGTTATGGCGAACCGCTCAAAACAGGCGAGCCTAACAGTTTAGGCGAGCTCCACTTCTTGAGCCAGGTTCCCGGTTATGGCGAACCGCTCAAATCAGGCGAGCCTAACAGTTTAGGCGAGCCCATCTCTTTGAGCCAGGTTCCCAGTTTCGGCGAACCG